CACATAGATGCAGATTTGAGTATTTCAGCAAGTTGTGCAGGTAAGACCGCATTCACTCCCAGCCAGGAATGGACAGTGAATCAATAAATTAAGTTCTAAGTGCAGTAAACCAAATTTAAGGGATGCTAGGGTTGGGAATCGAGAAACAGTTACGAATATGACTGTAAAATACTACAGCCAAATGATTATGATATTTGGTTCTTTTAAGAGTTATTATATGAGTTCTTCTACTGATACGGTCAGAACACTGCGCTGTTGAATCTACAGCACCAAGGCAAAAGACATTATGTTTAAGTGATTTCTTCAGACTCTTCTTACGAATCAGTCAAATGAGTCTCAAATTCATTGATCATAAATGGCTCTCACTCACCGAATCAGTTGGAGTAGTTAATGAATTAACAACAGACTAACTTAAGGAATGGAAAGTCATTATTTTTGGGCCTGTCAGACTTGAAATAAACTAAGAACTGTGTTTCAATAGCAGCAAAAGTGTTTTGCAATACAATATGAACACAATACCTAACAATTGTATCTAACAATTAATCTTTTTTGATACAAGTACATAGAAATTAAAGAGACCAAATTGGACCCATTGTAATTAATAGAAATAAATCATAATGATTCAGTTTACAATAAATCACAATAAATCAGTTTAATTACTTATTTGCTGTTAATATGACAATGTGTAGTGAAACACACATTCAGAACATTATAAATTTTGTTGTGACAAAGAATACATTTTTACAAATGTTACCAGCATAGCACTGTTTAGTATTTTAATTTATAAGAATTATAATTTTCCTATTATTTAATAATTTATGCAAGCATACATAGTATAATAGCATATGGTATAATGTCATTAGGATCAATAATTTGGTGCTTTCAATGTCACATGAAGTACCACATACAAAGTTTAAACTTTCCACTGAGAAACATCCTGATCAAGTCGTGCTTGCGATGGAGTTTCCGGTTGAGCGACTGCATCAGTCTCATCCTCGGACTTGAATTGATAAGGTAATATCGATGTCATTTTTGTAAACTTATAGTATCTTTGTTTACAAGTAATCCTCCTGAGCAAAAAAATAATTATGGTAATAGCGTTTCGTTCCCGACACGCATTGTATACGGAAAGACCAATCAGCCAGCTGACCAATCAGAGCAGAGTAGGCTTATGGAAGGGAGGGGTTTACAGACCTTAAGCTCAGAACTGCTTCGAACGAATCATTTCGAAATCATTGAAAAATTATTCTAATATTAAATGTAGAAAATTACAATGCTTTCTGACCTTAGATGCATTTAAACCTGTTGTAGGGGACTCCAACACAATATTAGGACACTTTAAAATACCATATGACCTGCTCTTTAAGTGGAATTGGAACTACAGCAAGTATTGGTAAGCTCCTTACGATTCCCATCCCTAGTTATTAAAACATATAAATCTTAAGTGATAACAATTTCATGTGAAATGCAGGAAATATTTGCACTTTTTTTTTTTAGATTAAATTCCCACCGATACTCTTCCAAAACTGAGAGTGAAAAAGACTCGAGAAAGGAAAGAATGTGAAATGTTCAAAAAGAATGTGTGGCATTGGAGAGGGAGGACAGAATCAAGAATCAAGCACTGCAGTTCCACCTATGACCACAAGACGGCAGGTGACGGGTTCTTTGTTGCTATGACAACAGCAGCGGCCTTTTGTGTCTGGGGCAGGAGGCAAAGCGTCTGTCACTGTGTGTCTTTTACTTTTACAGTCAGTGGTTGAGGCTAACTGATGCTCTGCTAAAGCAACAAAAAATAAAAGAAGGTGATGTGCCACTGACAAATGCTGGAACTGGGGCTCTAAAGCCGATTCATCTTGGAAACATCCAATTTTTCCAAGCAATCTGAATGGTTTTTATTGGATTCACATGGGATATGGAAATGCAAGGCTCATTATGGAACAGAACACCAACTTTGGACAAGTCACATGGACACATTCCAGACAATCACTATGCGTGTGGCGGAGAGGGCGTGGCTGATTCATACAGGTGGAAAGCTGAATGGGAAGGTGGGCGGCAGCGTGTGGAAATAGAGGGATGAGGAGTTTTTTGACTCCGCATTTTCTCGATCCGCTCCTGGTTACCTTCTTGGCACTTTTTCTGACAAGGGTGGTGAGTTCGGACACCACCAGGTCCACACATTTCAGGCTGGGCTCTTTCAGTTTGCGGATCTGTTTTTTCACTATAGTCTCAAAGGCCAGATCAGGGGTGAACAACCCCGTTCTGAGGGGGTCAGGGGGATGCCAGTGAAAGAAGGGGGGAGAAGAAGTGTTGAGGTGTTAAAAAAAGGACAGACAAAGAGAAAGAAGGGGAAGAATAAAAAGAGAGGAAACTTTTAGTTGATTAATCATTGCTTATCTATGAACAGATACAAACTAGGTCCAAAAGGGGGAGCCGTAGGTTTTCACATCCATGAATTATGTATTTTTTTGCACCACAATAAACAAACCCTAGAAAAGCTTGTTCACTCAACATCCAATATAACTAGTCTAAAATATTTGCATTTTTCCACACCAAAAATATTCACTACTACAATGCTACTACACAGTATATCATTTTTTACATTTATTAAATATTAAAACAACCGGCCTCTAAAATAATAATAATAATAATAATAATGATGACAAAGATTCATTGTATTTTTGGAAATATCGGAATCAAATGGTTTTCATGACACCTGGTTCTGTCAAAGTCGCAATGAAACAGAAGTAGCAACTGTAACATATGCACAAATTAATTGTTCACAATAATGGCTCGTTTCCACTGAGCGGTACGGTTCGGTACAGTACAGTACGGTACGCAAAAGGGTGGAGCTAAACTCACAGCAGAATGTTGATTGGTTGACTAGGGGGATAAATCGTCCGTCACTCGTTCCGCTTTGCTGTCCATGAGTGTTGGGCTTATTTACATCAGAGTGAGCAAACACAAAAAAATATAACCGCGTATTTTATAATTTTATATTTTGACAGACAATAGCCATTTCATTACTGTTATTGTGTCATAAAATGTAGTTTTAAGGGTTTTTCAGGAAAGAATTGTTTAATTGTTTAAAACTCAAATCTGCGGTTTATTTATAAAGATAGCACCTATTTGAAAATTTGCTATGCCGATTTCGGAGCTCCAGGCGATCAGCGGGCGCTCAGTGCTCATGTATCCGCCGAGAGCAGCCTCAGCTGGGCTAGTCCTTCCGACATTTGCCATGAGATACATTGATACATAAATTGTATCTCATTTAACATGAGATACAATTCATTTTGGGTAGGCTATATTTAACAGGCATTCATGGTCTCATGAATCTATTATTTATTCCTGGTCATATCGTTTTGGCAGAGCACAAAGTTATGTTTAACTTTATATATTTAATTTGAACTTTACCGTAGTACATCGCTGACTTTGTAGCATACGTTTGACTGAACTGTTTGCTTTTGTCTTTATTTCCTCTTATATAAGCCTCTTATACTTTGTATTTATACTTTTATAATGGCTATTATTGTTCATTAAAACGGACATTTAACAAAAAGAGGCAGAGTTGTGCTTATTGTCGCGGTTCATCGTCGATCGCTACTTTCCGGCATACACCACGCCTATCAAGAAGGGTACTATTGGCAGTGGAAACGCAAGTCTGATCAGGGTTACTCGTACCGAATCGTACTGTACTGTACCGTACCGCTCAGTGGAAACGAGCCATAAGATCTATATATTTATTTATAAAATAGATAGGGTGAATTTTCATTTCATGCTGACTTTTAATAGTTCTTCAACATCTGTATTCTTCAGCCAATGTGGAGAGAACACCGCACCACAGCAAAATCTATAGTCTAAGTTAAGTTCGCGACACAAAATAATTTAAAACTGCAATCAATTATGTGGATGCAAAAACAGATAGACTACAAAACCAGTCCAATTTTTGAACAGATGACTCTTATAAACTCTGACTCTTGCAATTAATCTGTGAAAACGACTCTCAAATCTTAAAGAGACCTTCAAACCAATGAGTTGTTAATTTAAACTGGCGAAAAAGACTCAATGTAGTCTCAGTGAAGTAATAAAATTGCATATACAGATGTACTTAAGTCCTAATTAAACTGGTAAAAAAAACTAAGTATCTGAAAACATTACATTCAGTTTGCACTTAAATATATTCTTTTAAAGTATATTATTCATTTAATAAGTACTCTTTTTTTCTAAGTATGCTACAGTCAAGTGTACTTCTTTTTATATGATTAATAATGTGATCAATTACTGAAATCATTAAGACAGCTGAACGACCCCTCCCCCCCCACTTACTTAATATGCAAGCATTTTGTGCATAAATTTCAGACTTGGTGTGAATAGGCCTCAAAAAGCCCTTACATTTTCATGTTGACCCTTGGCTACAGAGACGCTCAGGATGTTGCAGCACCCCTGGCTCATCCCTTTTAGACCGCAGATGAACAGAGAGTGAAATTCTCCGCTCATCTCCTTATCATAAAACCGTCACAACACCCCAACACACGACAGCAGAGCCAGCACACACGGCAGTCGGGGGGGCCGAGGGGGGTCACACCGACACTCAAACACGTTCAACCTCTGACTCTCCCTCTGTGCTTTTCACTGAAAGCCCCATCTGTTTGTCTCAGGTGTAGTGTGACCCCCTCCTCACAAGAAGCCCCCCTGTGGCCAGGCTGGGGTACTGCAGTACCTTGTTGGTGCACTGCCTGACTGTGTTGATGAGCTCCTGAATAACCAGATCGATACATTTCAGACAGGGCTCTTTCAGCTTAATGATCTGCTTTTTCACGATGGCTTCAAACGCCAGATCTGGAGTGAACAGCCCAGTTCTGAGAACGCACAGGACAGACAGACAGCAGGACGTAAGAGGACGGAGACAAACAGTGAGGAGAAAGAAAACAACAAAAGTGGCAAAAAAATAACTCAAAGACAGATATTTGTGACAATGATATTAAGACAGAAGTGAAACCACGTGAAATTAGGATACTTGAAGGTGAAGTGGAGGGAAAGAAGAGGATAAAGACAACGTTTTAGCTCACAAAGACTAAAAAAAATAAAATAAAGTGAGTTCTAAATAAGAAACGGACAGATTAGTGTGGCTCACTGTGGGGAAAAAGAAGTCAATTAGACATTTCAGAGACAACAAGGTTTCTCTTAAAATCACTTTAGGCCATGCCCTCATGACACCGTTTATTGAGGTCGCAGATACATTTTTGAAGGTTTCACAAGAGAGACAAATCGCAGCCTAACTGATGCTCACTTTGATTGTAGACTCATATTAAGCAACTCAATCTAGTCTGGCTCAAAACTAAGAGCAGACGAGGGTAGAATTTGACAAGACAGAGTCCACATTAAGCCAAAGTCAAAGACTATATTCTCATGGTCTCAATCTTGGTCCTCGAGTCCAAGATCACATTTCCAAGGTCTTGGTCCTTGAGTAGGAGTTCAAGACCATATTTTCATGCTCTTGGTTTTGGTCCTCGAATTCCAAGATCACAATTTTATTATCTTGGTCTTGGTCCTTGAATCAGTTCTTAAAGACCGTATTTTCATGTTCTTGTTCCTAGAAACCAAGTTCAAGACCATATGTGACCGTGGACCACAAAACCAGTCATAAGGGTCCATTTTTTTAAATTGAGATGTATACATCATATGAAAGCTGAATAAATAAGCTGTCCACTGATGTATGGTTTGTTAGGATAGGACAATATTTGGTCGAGATACAACTATTTGAAAACCTGGAATCTGAGGGTGCAGAAATATCAGAATATTGATAAAAATCGCCTTTAAAGTTGTCCAAATGAAGTTCTTAGAAATGCATATTACTAATCAAAAATTAAGTTTTAATATATTTACTGTAGGAAATTTACAAAATATCTTCATGGAACATGATCTTTACTTAATATTCTAATGATTTTTGGCATTAAAAAAAATCAATAATTTTGACCCATACAATGTATTTTTGGCTATTGCTACAAATATACCCCAGTGACTTAAGACTGGTTTTGTGGTCCAGGGTCACATATGTTCATGGTGTTGGTCTTGTCATGGACTCGGGAGCATGTAGACTCAAGTGTCTTGTCTTGAACAACCATTTTTCAGTCTCAGTCTTGACTAGAACTCAACATTCTTTGGGTCTCGAACTCGATCTTGTGCTCGAATGAGCTGGACTACAACAGGGGAGCTGTAGTTCAACAACGTGATCTGAGCTGGGCTTGAGCCAACACAGACACTGTGATGTTTCCAATCATGTTATCGCCACATAATCTTGTACTATGAGCACAAACAACGCTGTGCTGCAAACAACGATAGAACAAAGGCTGGTGAGAACAATATTTTCTTAAAATATTTTTGCAAAATGAGCACAAAAACAATTTGTAGGTGCAAAAATGTACCTGCAATTAATTTTGTATGTATAAAATCTGCATTTTGTTCTTGTATTCTATGCATAACTAGTTATACAGGCATCACACAAAATTGTGCGGCTCTGCTGAAATCATCTTTCAGAATGTGGAACCTGGAGTGGTACTTGATTAAAAAAAATAAAATAAAATAAAAACTGTATGATCAAATGTTCCTATTAAAATGTACTTGATTGTATTTACTATATAATGATATATCTTATGTACTTTTTTTTTCATCTGACATATATTCCAACATGTCTTATATAATGCACTTACTGTCAAGCAAGCAAAACATGGATTTGGATTTGTGCCGAATGAGATGAGCTCGGGTTTATTTATAAATCACATTTCCCACCCGCCGGTAGTTTCAGTTTCACTTCAAATACATTTATTTCAGCTTGTCTTTAATCATAAATGTTGTTTATAATGAATGCCACTACAATATATGACCGTTTTATACTTTTTTTTTATTTTCTATTCCTGTTCTGTTCTGAATACTGTTAAAGGATTTAAGTGAGGGAAACTAAAATACATTTATAGTGTTCATAATGTTTGTAAACGTTTCATTGTATTTACCACTATTCTACATGATTTCTGAATGTAATTAAAAAAACGTGACTTATGAATGACTTTTTTAATCTAAAAAATGCAATTTTGAACCGATGTGACTGACAATACGGTATGGTGAAAAGGCTGGTGACATGCAGAAAAAACACCACTATTAACGATATATACAAGACAGATGATAAGAAAAAACGTGAGCTGTAAAGCGATTCTAGTAGCTGTGTTGTGAAAGCATGGCCTTACTATAACACACGAGAGAGAGAAAGAAAGAAAGTGTGTGACTGGAGTGAAAGAGTGAGGTATTAGTCAGTGAACAGAGAACATAAGAAGTGCCGTGGCTTTCGTGCCACCATATGGCCTGCAGGGTTGCAGAGTGCTTGCCATCAATGGGACACCACTTGCCTGACGCCATGGACGTTCTTAATGGCATGACTGATTTCTCTCCGGAGCTCCTTCTCGTCAAACACAATCTGAAAGAGAAAGAGAGACTTCATAACAGGGACTTGCCACTGCACCTGTGTAGCATACCGGGTTCCCCGGGAGCTTGTTGGGACTTGTTATCTAAAGATCAAAGTAGTATTTCCAGACATTCAGCTCAAAAGCAGACAAAACTAAGCATTCTGTTGAAAAGAGGCATTTACCTTCACCAGCTCAAATGGGAAGCGCTCATGGAAAATTCGGTTAATCCTGGCACCTCCGGACAGCTCTGCCGTGTCCACCTGGTCTCCGGAGCCCTCGATGCACTTCTCAAAGTCCACTCCAAACTGCTGGACCATCCTGAAAGTGGCACTCAGAGTTTAAACATCTACCCTACAGTTTTAAAGCCTAGAATCTGCTTGAGTTAGAGACTCACTGCAGTAGGGCCTTGGTTTTTCGCGTAGGGTCATCCGGGCGGAAGTTCTTATACTCTTCCACCTCTTTTTCCAGAGAGAGAAGCTGAGACTGGAGTTTGCTGCGCAAGCCGGGTAGCGTGTCCCGGATGTGGTTGGTCAATTGCTAAAGATAAAACAAGAGGAAGTGAGAATGCGATATACAAATAGAGGCACAAAACAGAAGGTGACATTGACTAAATGAAGTGATTTTTAGGCATTAGCTTCATTTACATAACTGTACACAAATCTTTTCTGAAATGGCCAGTTATTTATGCAAATCCATGGCTGCATTTTGTGTGTGAGCGATTTGGTCCTACCTGGTTGAGGGTCTTCTGCAGGTGTGGTGTTCCCATTCGTTCAGCCATGTGTCTGTAACTGGGATGGGACAGGAAGAACTTCCTTTCTGCTGCCAGTGCAGCACGAATGTCCTTCCTGCCATCTATGTCTTTCTGACTACGGTTCACTACGCCTATATAACCTGGGACAAGGAAAGTGGCATTAAACAGTGTGCCAGTGCAATGATAGAAATGTGTCAACTGGAACTTTGCTCTATTGTTTATACCGCGGCTGATATATCCACTAACATGCTTGACATTATTTACATGTGAGAATAACATAGACACAGTAAGGAATGTAAAAATACAGAACAGGACATTCAGGACAGTCCAAAACAAGTCAAGACAAGAAGAAAGAACTTTCAAATAATATAGAGCAAGTCAACAAAAAAAATATGGGAAGCCCTTTCTCCTCCTAGAGAATATTATATTATATTATATTACATTACATTTTATTTACATTTAGTCATTTAGCAGATGCTTTTATCCAAAGCGACTTACAAATGAGGACAAAGAAGTAATCAAAACCAAAAAAAAGGGCAATAATATGCAAGTGCTGTGACAATTCTCGGTTAGCCTAAGGCAGTACACGGTTTTTTTTAAATAATGAATAAAAAGAAAAACAAGTAGATAGAATAGAAAAAGAAAAGGGGACTGTAGTGTTAGAGGGTCTTTTTTAAATAAAAATAAAACAAGTCAAAGGAATAGAAAATGCTAGTGTTAGAGGGTCATTTTTTTATAATAAATAAAAAGAAAACAAGAAAATAGAGTAGAAAAAATATAATATTATAAAAAATATAATATCATATAAAATTATAAATATACAATTATATTATATGATATGTTATTATATTATATTTATTATAATATATTATATAATATAATTTTTTTTGTTGACTTCCAAATTACATGAGATGCACTGCTGTTCAAAATCTTGGCTTTTTTAAAGAAATTAATACTTTTATTCAGCAAAGATTCATTAAATTTATCAAAAATGACACTAAATACATTTATAATGTTTATAAAGATTTATATTTCAAATGAATGCTGTTCTTTTAAACTTTCTATTCACCAAAGATTTCTGAATGCTCATGTGACACTGAAGACTGGAATAATGGCTGCTAAAAATTCTTTGCATCACTGGAATAAATTACATTTTAAAATATAATACATAGAAAACAGCTATTTTAAATTGTAATATGTCACAATTTTACTGTATTTTTGATCCTTGGTGAGCATAAGAGACTTTTTTTCTCCAAAAATGAAATTCTTACCGACCTCAAACGTTTGAATGGCAGTGTACAGTATATGGTTGCGGAGTCATAAAATGACTCATAAGAAATTGCCATAAATGATACTCCTGTAATGTGATGGTGTTAAGTACAAACTGCCCACCTCTACGCAGTGGTAAGAGTTTATTTTCCATTATATCCCGGGCGTCTGTACCCTCATCCATTAGATCCAGTTTAGTAATCACACCAATGGTACGCAGTCCTGTTGAACCACAAACAAAAACACATTAAGAGCAGGGTTTGAGTTCAGTCCACTGGGCTCCCACTCTTTTGACCAATGAATGAAACTTTCTAGTCATTTAATATTACTGGACCAGAATTCAAAGTCAGGTTGATTCACTAATGAATCATTCAGACCATTTGTCATTCACTAAAAAAACACCACAAATTTGACATCACTATGGTTTGCTATAGTTGATATTTTCAGGTTTTCCATGACTATGCGAACTCTATACACATCCTTTTGTTATTTTATCTGTGTGTAATAGGGATGTGCCGATACGAGTATCGGTACCTAACGGTTCACGGGGCAAATTCCAAATGGAAGTGATCATTCCTAACCCCTTGGAGTGGGGGATTTTGGAGTGAGCAGGGCACGTGTGTGCCATTATGTAGTCGTTTGGAATGCACTTGGCAAAGGGAGCAATGTAATTTCCTCATTATCTTCAGCTGGCATGTTCCCGTGACAACGCACTAACTAACCCGTCCATCGCTGATACCGGCATAAAAAAATATATATATATACACTTTTAATATTTTAAAAAGTTTTATATATATAATTTTTTATATATTATATAGCATATTTTAAAAACTTTTTAAAATATAAAATGTATGTTTATTTGCAACAGTTATGCTAACAACAATAAAAAGAAATTTATGACAGTAAAACAGCGACATCTGCTGACGGACACTGTGCTGCGTTGTCACGGGAACATCCCAGCTGAAAATAATGAGGAAATTACATCGCTCTCTTTTGCCAAGTGCATTCCAAACGACTACATAATGGCACGCACGTGCCTTGCTCACTCCAAAGTCCCCACTCCAAGGAGATAGAGATGATCACTTCCATTTGGAATTTGCCCCGTGAACCGTTCGGTACCGATACTCACACCGGCACACCCCTAGTGTGTAACCCTCCCAGCAATCCTCACCTTGAGGGTCCACCTCCTTAGACAGCTTGAGAGCGTCTGAGTTGGCCAGGTCAGTGTTGGCCGGGGTGACGGCGAGGATCAGGCAGCTTTCCCTTGTGACGAACTGCATAAGCATGTCTCGAATCTGGTGCTCGATGTCTGGCGGCTGGTCGCCCACGGCAACCTTAGTCATTCCGGGCAAATCGATTAGAGTCAGATTCAATACTGTTGAACAGAGAAAGAGATGAGTGACATTTTAACAATGGCTGCCGAGTGTGGACTGAGGAAAGCTGCGGTCTTGGGGAGTCTTGTGCTGTATTACCGTGTGGCGAGTAAACCCTCAGGTTGATGGGAATTGGAGAGATGCCCTTATTGGACCCGGTAATCCTGTCGGTCTCTGCTTCAATTTCCTGCCGGACTTCATCAAAGTCAACAAACTTCCTCCCTTTGCAGTGCAAGAATTCCGCATATTCTGCAGAGAGAGAGATGGACATTAAAATTATATTGAAATTATATATATTTTTATATATATATAAATAACCTTTTTAATGGTTTTTTATATATATATAAATAACCTTTTTAATGGTTAAATAAAACTGTATTAATCAAAAAGCATGTCTAATTAATTAAAATCATGAAACTTAAACAGTTTAACATCAATTTATTAAAAGTTTAACAAAAATTACATGTTTAGGGCCCAAATATATATTTTTTTCCAACCTTATGTTTTATTGTTACCAAATTCTGTGTTTTAGCATGTCTAATTATTTGAAAGCAGGATAGTTTTACTCAAATGAAACGGTCAAATTCTCATGAAGTGACTCTCAGGGCAGTTCTGGAGATGTTGTTCATGTATTTATGTCCTCATTAGTGAAACGGCAGATGCTAAAATCACCGCAAGCATCACGCGCGCTTCAGTACAAGTGGTAAACAAAACCACATGTCTGTGCCATTCATTAACACAGAGACACGAAGAATTCATATTTAAATAGTCGTTTTGCAGTTTAATATTTACAAATACTAGTGGGAGTGGGAGTGTGCTCACTTGTGTGCACGCGCGCATCGGGGCAGAACTCCGCTGTGCACGATACACAGAGCACAACCATGTAACGTAGAGACAGAAATGACATGCCGTCGTGTAAATAAGATAAATAACATGAGGCCATTTAGTTTGTTTAATAAAGGAACAAGGTATAGACATGTTCTATAGGAAAGGTAACTTTAAATGACTTCTGTTGTGATGTGGCGCTATAGAGAAAATAAAATTAAATAAAATTAACCTGACCTTCAAGGGGGCAGTCCGCCCCCCTAAAAGAATATCAGGGGAAACACTGTATTGTGCATATACAAGCAGACAGACAACATCAGTTCAGCTTTGTTTTGTTCAACTTTATGGTCAATTGCACTCATTTGGAAGATAATCTGTTCTGTGTAATGTCTTTCTGTTTGAATTAATTCTCCATCTGCACTTCCTTGTTCTCGCTACATTACAGTACCTCATGCTGAAAACAATAGAAATGATAACTGCTTTTAAAGTGGCTGAGAGATGTAAATGTTAGAAGGGGCATTTTCAGAAGGGAACCTGCTTTATGTACGAAAACTGAATAAAGTGACGTTAATACAGCTGAAGTGTCATTTTTGTGACACTAGTAACAGGAATTGCAATAAATAAGTAACATTTTGTTCTCAAACTGAACTGATTTCTGTGATGCCGAAAATGTGGATGAACCGCAGGATCCAGTCATAAAACTACAATTGATTTACTTTATAACACAGAATTTGACAAAATTTGAATGAATAAATCAAAAAGACTCTTATTTAAATATGAAGTCTGCATATTCTGCAAAAATTGACTTTTTCATCCATTTTCTTTTTTATTTGAACAACAAACCTCTATTTTGTAGCACTTACTCCATCACAAAATGAAAGGAATTGTTCAAATTTCATTTGATTACATTTTATAAGATTAATTAAATTGTTAAAGTTTTATGCATTCATTTGATCACCACCATTTTTGATTATAAAGTCATATCGAAATCATAAAACACTGCCTGCAGAAAAAATAAAACAGACAACAAATCATTTCATATGGCTATTATTGTTAAAATTGCAATAAATTAGTAAATTAGTAAAGTTTTATGAATTCAACTGATTAGACATCCTTGATTATTAAAATGTATTTAAAAAACGAAACAAAAAATAAATAAATAATAATAGGGCCCTTGATGTGTCATTTGATGTGACACATTTTTTGACACTGTGTATGAATATGCATGAAAGCATGTGGTTTCAACCATCTGCACACATACTACAAATACCTGAGAAGGCTTTGTTCAGTTGTGCTGTGCTCATCAACACACTCACCAGCTTTGTTGTTAACTAGCTGCAGAATGAGAGGCCTGCGTGTGACTATGCCTGAGCCTCGGGGAAGGAAATCCCTATAAAAAGAGAGAGAAAGAGAAAGTGAGTTTGGGTGGAGTCATTCATAGCAATCAAGCTCAATTTTCAGGGGTGACAAGACTGATCAAATTATTCATGAGTAAGGAGTAGGCGAATGTTTAGGAGCAACCTCTTTGCATTCATATCAGAATACACACACAAACCAAGACGCTATCTGGTCCCTTGTAGCAATGAATATTAAAGCACAGTGGCATCTTTTGAAGGCCCGTGATTCCTAAGAGGCTGCAGTGCTTTTGCAAATGAATGGCCACTGCCGTATCTCGCAGCCAAATCAGGGTGCATTTAATAACACTGTGGCACATTATAAACACCCTCTGAGATCAAACTGTGAGCTGAGAGCAGGGCAATTTCAGCCCTTGCCCTTCAATATATCCGCAGACCTAATAAGCAGCACAGAGGACAGAACAGGCACATTTTTAATAATATACGAGAAAATGAGGCAGACTTTCAATCAGAAACATACACAATACAAGGCAGAAACATTGTAAATACATGGCCAGCTGAACACGAGTATAATGTTCTTGACTCCAGTACTCAAGGGGGCGAGAGAGCTACCTTCAAATGCCTGCGCTTTAAATCTTGTGTGTGTTATTATTTAGTAAGCTATTATTTTAAATGTGGTTTTGATTATCTAAAAGGAACCAGTTAATAAGAATCATTCGTTCGGGAATCGGACTACACTTGTTCTAATTCTATGGGAATAGTGAAGTCCACCACACCACAACTGTAACAATAATGATAAGAGAGGAATGATATCGTTGGAATCAGGATGATTTTTTTCCAGCTAATGAACGGAAGTGACAGCCACTCAGAATCCTCCGGACTTTAAAACGCTTAAGCATTTAAAATGACATTTGACAAAACTGCAGCACGCACTTATAAAAAAAAAACAGAACATTATTATTTATTGCTGTGGACACTAATATAGTTTTTGGTACAGTCACCATTATAGTAGGGCTGCAACTACTGATTATTTTAATAATAGATGAATCTGTTTCTTTGATTATCAGAACAAAATCCAAATATTATCAATGATTAAAATGTAATCATTTTAATACAAAAGTAATTACTTTTAATCTATTATTAAAAATGTTATTCCACGTCCCGCCCAATGTCATCCTCCAAACAATGTGCCATTTGTAGTCAATGAAAACAAATACAGAAATTCTAAGAATTTACTAATTTACGTAAGAACGGCCGTGGCCATTTTAAATTTAATGTGTCTGGCTTCCGGTGTCATTCACTTCCAGTTATTTTTAGCTGTACAAATATAACTGTCGTTATTCTGCTTGAAACTGCAAACTGCTATTATTTTACCATATTATTTGCATGTATTGTCTTAATTATAAACACACTGGTTTGTAGCGCAAACAGTTTTACCGTTTACTCCACTTTGATATTATTCTTGTTATTTCCCTATAGCGGCTAATGAACTGAAAGCCTCATTCACAGAAAACAGCTTACTTCTGCGTTGAAAGATAGCTCACTCTGTGTCCTCCACTATATGTTATGTATTTTGTTTATAGAGAGGCGTCAGGGGCCGTTCACACAGAACATGCTTGTCCATTCCACTGCACTACATTTCCATTTTGTTTCTATGTACACACGTGCTAGACAGACCTGTTTGACCATTGCGCTAGCATCTCACGTATTTTACGGTTTCGCACATGACACAGCATTTTAAAAAAAAAATGCGTCACTCAAATTAAAATATGTTAAACTTAAAAAACATGTCTCTAGGCGTCTCGTGTTTTTAAAGCAAAAACACATTGCATGTGTCGGCCCTTATTCATTAAAGTCACATGACATGTTTTCGATGCACACCGCGCAGACGCGAATAATCCAGATACTTTGAGAAATGAGAAAGTGTTTTTATTATCCACACAATGGAAGTCAGTAGTTAACAAAACTGTTTGGTTACCAAGATTCTTCAAAATATCTTCTTAGAAAGAAAAAAGTGCTGCAAATTTGGAAAAATGAGTAAATGATGACAACACTTCTATTTTTGGGAGAACTAACCTTTTAAAAACTCCTGAGATAATAGCAGCTGTCTCTTATATGTTATCGTAACAAAAGCTTCAATGCAAAAAAGCATGGGATTTTAACTTCTAGAAACTTCTCACTAACCTGTCATCAAGCATGACAACATTCAACCAGAAATTTTAACTTGCCCATAGACAACATTGTTTAAACTATGAAGATTTGCATTCATTTACTTGTGTCCGGTATGTTTCTGACTTTAGGGACAGTCTAAAAACACATGATGAAAGGCCGATGATATGTCTTTTTCCACATGGGAAGCTTTGATGAAATCCCACATGCTGTGGGTGGGTTGAAAGCGTGGCTGCGGGTTCAAGAGGAGTCCAATCACAGTCTGTCTTAATGAGTAAGCCTGCCTCTCCAGGAAATCCTGCTTTACATCTGGTCCTGATCAAAGCCAGTGCAGTCAGCTGTGAATCCAGCCACCCTTTCCCCGAAGTCACCGGCCTACCTAATGCACAATGCAGCAGAGCCCCAGGGGAAAGACAGACCATGCTTTAAACACACACACACACACACACAGTTACACAATAAAAGTAGTGTCATTCACAAAGAGATGCTAGCCTCGGCTCTGTGTGTTCATTTTGAACGGTTTGATTCAAAGTAAATGAACCACAGACACTTCAACACTGTATCACAAACTATAATGTGTGTAAATACTGTGCTTGAAACTATATACAGTGGGTACGGAAAGTATTCAGACCCCCTTAAATTTTTCACTCTTTGTTATATTGCAGCCATTTGCTAAAATCATTTAAGTTCTTTACATAAAAAGGTAAAAATATGCATGGTATTATAATGTTACACTAAAACTAAAATTATAACATGTAGAAAGGGAAAAAAAGCATCTTAAGCATGCAGAATAACATAAGTGGACTTTTACGATTATGATTATGTAATTGTGGCATCCGTAATTGTAATTGCGATTAGAAATTCGATTAATTGTGCAGCCCTAATATATATGTATACAAAATTAAATGCATGGACAAAACAATCACAATAACCCAGTGACATACATAATTAAAGAAAATATATATTAGTAAATTTTAATTTGATATTGACTTTAGAAAATATTTCATGAATATTAATTTCTTTGAGCACAACGTTTCAATTAAGAAACATATAACTGTAATCAGTAATGTTATTGGTTTTGAGTCCACAGTTCTTTATAAAAGACACTAATTCAAATGGTTGGAGACTAACGTTAGGTAGAAACGGTTCGCCAAACTAAGTGATGACTGTGACTTTAGCATTACAAGTGGACAACATAAAACTGAGAAAAGCGTAATTGTAATTGCGATTAGAAATTCGATTAATTGTGCAGCCCTAATATATACACATACATTGCAGCCTGCACCATCTGACAATCGTACCATCTTATGCCATACCACAATATTTTATTTCAAAATATCATGCAACCACATGCAAAAGTAAGGCAGAGCTTTCAAGTGTGGCTTATGAAGACGGCACCGTCTGGCTGCATGAAGCATGTGGCTGTACAACAACGGCCAAAGCCTGGAGGGGGAGAAGTGCGAATGAAAACAGGCCACAGAGAGCCGTGTGCTGGCCTAACCTCGCATGCATGCATGGCCCCCTCTCCACTTACACCCACTCTGCCAGCAAAGCCCAACACCTACACACGCACACACACACACGCGCGCGCACACACGCACACACGCACACACACACACACACACACACACACACACACACACACACACAGAATACAGAT